CCGAAAGGTGAGCCAGAGACGCGAAGTTATCCTCGAGAACCAGAACAGCCAGACTCCCAGCTCCCACAGAAGCCCACGATGGAGCCAGCACCTTTTTCTCCCAGCACGTTCACAACCTCAGAAAGGCCAGCTACTGACCTGTGGCGGTAGGTCCGCTTCTCACCCACGGGCTCTGGGGGTGGTGTCACGTGTTCAGAGCAGACTTCCATGGTGTCCCCATCATCCCCCATGGCTTCTGTCGGCACTTCCATGGCAGCCATGGACGTGGCTGGGCTGTGAAAAGCAGAGGGGCTCGCAGGGCACGCCATGGTGACGGGTGCAGCCCCGTCTACCACAGAAATGAACTCACCAGAAAGAGACTATGTCTTTTCCTGCAGACATTTTATCACTATTTTGGCATTGTGTAATTTTTAGGCTACCAGATTAAGGAGAAGGATTATGGCAAGGCCAAAAGTGAACCTTACGATGCCACTTTTTATAAATTTAGGTATAACAATTTCACTTTGCCTTTAAACTTTTTTTTTTTTTTTGGTTAATCCTCACCAGAGGCTATTTTTCCATTGGTTTTTAGAGAGCGTGGAAGGGAGGGGGAGAGACAGAGAGAGAATCATCGATGTGAGAGACATATATCGATTATGTGTGTATATACTCAAAAGGCTTCTCTGAATTCCAGGGGGGGCGGCACATACCCTTTGCTTTTCTTTGGTTTATCAAACCGGAAGTCCCCAGGGTAGAGGTGATGTCTCACCAGGTGGTCCTTCCTGTCTTTGCTGGTCTTGAACTTCTCTGTGCAGCCTTCCACCAAGCACTGATACTAAAACAGAGACAGTGTCCTGCCATCCACAGGGATGGGGGCTGCAGAGGGAAGGTGCCCTGGTCTTGCCCCACCCAAGAGCTGAGAGCTCTGACCCTGAGGCAGACAGCTCCCATCCAAGCCCCCAGTATGACTGCTTTACCCACCATGTCCTGCCGCTCCGACAGGACCTGGAACAAGGAATCGTGCCACTCCAGGATGTGTATGTCCAGCAGATGTCCCGAGGGGAAGGCCCGCTTGCAGAAGGAGCACACGTTTCTGTGCAGAGTGTGGTAGTGATGCTCATAATCCTCCAGGGTGTCGAATACCTGGCAGCAGCCCGCCACCTGACAGGTGAACTCAGGCACCCTGGCAAAGGAAACCGCTGCTGGCTGACAACAAACATTAGGCTGTCGACAGCTTCCCTTTAAGTCAGCCGTGGGCAAACTACGGCCCGCAGGCCGGATCCGGCCAGGTTGAAATGAATAAAACTAAAAAAAAAAAAAAAAAGACCGTACCCTTTTATGTAATGATGTTTACTTTGAATTTATATTAGTTCACACAAACACTTCATCCATGCTTTTGTTCCGGCCCTCCGGTCCAGTTTAAGAACCCATTGTGGCCCTCGAGTCAAAAAGTTTGCCCACCCCTGCTTTAAGTGGTCTGATAAAGCTCCAAATGTTTCTTTCCCAATTCCAAATCTTGCTTTCTTTTTTGTAGCTTTTCTTTTACTTTCTTTTTAAAAAATTATTTATTGATTTTTCGAGAGTGAAAGGGAGAGGGAGAAAGAAACATCAATTTGTTGTTACACTTACTTATGCATTCATTGGTTGATTCTTGTAGGTGTCCTGACCAGGTTCCTTGAAACCTTGGCCCATAGGGACGATGCTCTAACCAACTGAGCTACCCTACCAGGGCCCAGATCTTTCTTTGTTGAGAAGTTAAGTTTCAGAGACGAGCCAGGTAGTGGAGAGATCAACAAAGCGGGGCTAGGACGGTGGTTCAGGCAGAGAGCGCTGTGACAGGTCACCAGGGAGGGGCAGGACTGGGGGCCCGGGAAGGGGACAAAGTGGGGGGCGAGGAGAGGCGGCGCAGGGCGCAGAGCAGCTCACCTGGGCCTCTCGGGAACCCCGGCCACGCCCGTAAGCACGTCCTGGAGGTAGAGGTGCCGCTGCACGTCCCCTTCCTACAGAACACGGTGGGCGCAAACTGAAGGGAAGG